GCAAAGGTGAAACCACATAATAACGCAGCTGCAGCTCCAGAAGGCATTGGTGGGGCTCTTCTTGCTCTACCTGGAGGCCTCGCCAGGATTGCCGTCAACACAGAACAGAGAAAAGTGGGCTGACGCAAGCAGGCCAAGCAGTGAGGAGACTCGTTAGAGGTGGTGGACTGCAGTTTAGGAGAAATAATGCTTGTAGAGGTCATTAGAACAAGTTCTAAAACCATCAGAAGTGCTTTCTCCAATTGACAATAAGTTGGAATGGGCTCCTGGTGGGTGGCAGATGGACAGTCTGGTCTCATTTAAGAAACAGCTTGGGCAGTGAATAACCCTGGGAGTGGAGATGGGGGACTTGGATTCCAGTCCAGGCCTCTCTGCCTTCAATTGACGCCTCTACCAAATAGGGATAATGAACTCTTCACCAAGTTGCCTGGAGTAATAATGGAAATCATGGGTTGTAGCAGAATGCTAGATGTTTTCCATCTTCTTTAGCAAGATAATTTGCCAGAGACCTTGTAGTATAGGCAGGGCAGAAACTCATCTCCAAGCCTTGTTTTAGAAGAGGCACTGAGTCCCCTTTAGTCAAGTAAATGAGGGCTCTGTAGGCATCAGGGTCCTGGGAAAGAGTACAGCAAGCCCTGTTTTGTTCTGGACGCCGCTTTGCTCCTTTAAAGGAATGTGGCTCCCAGCTTTCCTGGAGCTCGTTGCAACCTGGGAATGGCTGTGTGAGTGAACTGGGACATGTGGACCCTGGGGCTCAGGTCTCAGGGAGAGGGATTGTGTGTGGCTGGGGTGGGGAGAAGGCACCTCCCGTGAGGCATTTCAATATCTACAACAGCAACAAGATCAGAAGATTCTGCGCCCCCTCTCCCCCACGCACCGCCCCCCGCTCAAGCTCTGCCTCCCACCTTAGAGGATTCCTTCACCAGCTCAGCTAGTGCATCCTCTCCCCTGGTTGCCACCAAAGAGACACCATCACTGTTTTGTCCACCTCACTGTAGTTCACGGACAACAGCACCTGACCTCTGGCGTCCCAGGGCAGCATTCTGGGAACATTCCTGATGAGGGCACCTAGAGTGTACTCTCTTCACAAGGGTGGTGCTGGCCACCCTGGAAGCTTGGTCACTGTCAGCCATGGAGAGGCATATGAGGCAGGTAGGAATCCTCTCCCAGTGAAAGCCACAAGCACCAAGGCATGGCTGATGCAGAGCAGGGACAGGCCAGAGAGCCCTGCCCTGGAGTTTTGCATCTATTTCCAGCAGGTGAGGGCTTGTGTGGCTCAGCCTCAAGCTTGCTATCCATACCCAGAACTCCACTAGCACACCTAGCAACCTAGCAAAACTCTCCTGCACATGCCCAGTCAATGTTTAGGATATTAGCTCCCTCCCTGCATCAGTTTCCTATTGCTGCTGTAACAAATTACCATAAGCAATGGGCTTATAACCACCCCAAATTTACTATCATACAAGTATGGAGGTCAGAAGTCCAAAA